CACTCTCCTCAAATGAAAAAATGGTCCTTTTTTATTAAGTATAACTAAAAAAAACTAAGGTGTTTCAATAAAAAAAAAATGAAAAGAAGTAGAATTAGAATCACAAAGAGAATTTATTTAAAGGATAGCATGCAAAGAGACAGAGCCATTTAAAATCTAAAACGGTGGACTTACTGCAAGAGACGGATGAAGCAAAGTGTAGGGAAGCCCATCTACAAAGAGACACTGGTTGGCAAGTATGTACATCGCTGCCTACCATTTCCCCCCAAAAATAAGACATCCCCCAAGAAAAAGCCATTGCTTATTATCAAAGAATGCTTGTAATATAAGCCCTATCACGAAAATAAACCCTAGTCGCTAGTTCGCTAATCTATGTTCGGGGAACTTTCCCCAAACAAAGACGCAAGGGACTCCATGCGCTAGAAAGCTAATCTATGTTTGGGAAAGTTTCCCCGAACATAGACCTGCTTTCTTGCACATGCTTGGTACCGATTTTTCCAAAGAAAACATCCCCTGAAAATAAGCCCTAGTGATTTTTTTCAGGGCAAAAATTATTTTGGGGGAAAAAATGGTAGGTTAAACAGAAATGTAACATAAAAACCAAGCTACTTCAATACATACATAGTAACTTTATACATAGCGTTAAACAGGAAAGCACAGAAACTGTGAAATTATCTACACATTATGAAATCACTCTGTATCATCTAACAGAGAGAAGGGAAGGACATGTGACAGCCACACAGTTATGTGATTAAAAGCCAGATATTGGAAAACCAAAGAGAACATGATAACAATACATTACTGAATCTGTTACATTAAGCCTTGTTTGATATTAATATTCCATGTTTTGTTTACTGCCCACACGGTTTAATTGCATAACCTGGGACAGATAAGAATTTCTAAATGGAACAGAATATGCAATAAAGGAAGTATAAACATTAGATATCTCTTTACAGGAAGTGTTTAGGAAGGCTGTGCAAGTCACGTGCAGGGAGGTGTGTCTATGGCTGCATAAACAATGTGATTTAACTCATAAATGGCAGATAATTAAGTAGTGAGACTGAAGGGGCATGATCTATACACGGAAACTGCTTCATTAAGCTACAGTTGTTTTGGTGACTATAGTGTCACTTTAAACATGAATATAACAGAGCTCCCTGTACCCCTGGCTGGGTACCTCCGCCATGCTTAAACAGGGGACAAACAACAGCACTTCTGCCCACAGTTGCCGTGGCTTGACTGGGGTCCCAGAACCGCTCCCTCCTGGAGCCAAATGGGGAACTTGCTCTATCCACCCTCAGGGACTGAACGACACTCAGTCCTGGGAGTTCTAGTCCTCACAGGGACTTTCCCCGCTGAATCCTCCACACTGGAACAGTGACTCATGATTAGCCCTTTCCCCTCCCAGTAACCAGACGACACATAGTTCTGGGAGTACAAGCTGGAATGTTCAATCTGGCCAGAGAGCCTACTTTTATACAATTTTAGACACAGTTAAGCACGCCCGTGAAACTCCCACAAAAACAGGATAATTCCTCCCCTGGACCTGAGAGGGGACTAGTTACAAGTTACAAACTCCTTCTATGTGCCTGTGAGATAATTGAGTCTGGAAATGAACTAACTCAATTATCTCCAGGCACAGAAAAACATACAATATTACAAAACCCCAAAATAACTTTAAAACACATACAAACCCCACAAAAGTTACATCCCCTGATAGCTCTGAGTGACAAACATATCCAAAAATCACCCAGATCGGTTCAGGGGTTTAGAATTTTCATGGAAGTCATAATTTTGACTGACTGTGCACATGGTCCTATGCTCAAAACAGTTCCCTGAAAGCAGTGCTAATAGTCGGTCAAGTTCAGTAGTCATTTACAGATTTCCCTGCAGGGCTCGTAGTCTGTGGGCAGGAGGCTGGCAAGCAAGCTCCTCCAGGAGCTCGTGGCAAACTCATGTGGGAAGGGAAGTTTATCACAATGAATAATCTACAATCTCCGTTGGCTGAAGCGCACTGGCCTAAAAGACAAATACATGAATTTACTAAGGTGAACCAGGAAGTCCCTCTAACATGCTCACCATCAGGAGCTCCAGGTGCTTAACCATAGTTGAGACAATAACGGAAATACAAAAAAAAGAAAGGTTTGAGTGGTGAATCCTTTTGTTTAGCTGCACTGGAACAAAAAGCATGGCAATAGGTAAGTAACAACAAATATACATTATACATTTACAGATTGATACCTTTTCTCAGGGCCAATCAAGCCATAGCTACCCTTTGACCTGTCTTTAACAGGCGTGCATGGGAGTCATGGCCCATTTACCCTAAAACATGTAACTGGGAGCCTAGCTTCCAGCAGACATGTTGAACTAAGTTTCTGAGAATCAGAACAAATCTGGGGAAATAACCCCAATTAATCAGCACATCAACGCCCTTCAGGGCTTTAGCGAAGTCAGGACTCCTGGGTGATCACTCTGACACCTGATTCATGACTATACCCAGCCAGGGACCCAAACCACTAAGCTGCGGCCTACTTATGACAGAGCAGAAGAGAGGCAGCCACTCTCCATGCTTGCAGACTCTGAGGTAGGAGTCCAACAGCACTCCTACCCCCCCCCCCGAACCGACGGGGGATATCCCTGTCCAGACTGGACTACTGGGGCTGCCTGTCCTGATCGAGCCTTGAACCTTGGGCAACAAACTTGTGGCGCTCCCTCATACAGAGCAATCAAGATGGCAAAGGCTCTTCCACCAAACAAAGCTGGCCAGAGCCCATGCCGGGGGCCTTGTCGAGACGCCATTGATACTACCTTGCTGCGCCTCAATTAAGTTTTCCACCGTTTCTGGAAGAGAATACAGCAACGAGCGCAAGCAATCTGGTCTAAGCAGCAGGACCGTTTGGAGCAAATACAGATGCCATCCATGCCAAAGCCGGGCGATTGGAGGGGCAAGCGGCAAGGAATGAGGGGGCCCCCGACAGGCGCATCATCCACACACACATGTACCCTACCTCTCACTAGCCCACCCGGGCTGAAGGCTGCTAGGGTCACGACCCAGCAAGCGGCAACTGACCATAAGGCCCTCCTGCACTCCCATTCAAGTAGGAAACTCGAGCTCAGGTAGTAACCAAGTTTGTGAATCAGAGATGCCCGTCTATGCAACAGCCTAGGGCTGGAGAGTCGCCCTACCTCAAACCTGCTTTGTAGAAGCCTTTCGTTGCCCATCTGAGGGTCCCAGATGTCTCCCCATGGTGGGAGTTGGATGACAGAGACTCCTGCAAATACACTGTTTTATGTTTTAAGGACTCGCTCTAATGTTTTTATTAAATTTTTACATGTTGTCTTTATAATTATTGTTTTTTCATATAGAGCATAGAATGATTTCTCGATAAGGCTCCCAGTGTCAGTGGAGTAATTTCTCTACCTAAGCATGCAATCTTCAGTATAGCTTGTTAAGTTTTATTATCCTCGCGTAGAAAAGTGCTTGATATCAATTGAACCCTGGTTCTCTCAAATCTAAATACCTGAGAGCAATTAATATATCATACCATGTTGTTATGTTTAAATGTTTTATTCAGCATGTGACATGATGTATGCCTAGCCTGAATTTCCCCAACCTTATGCCTAGCTTGTCATGTTATATTATCCTCACATGCAATTGTGCTTGATCTAAATTGAACCCTGGTTCTCTCAAATCTAACTACCTGAGAGTAACTAACATGCCTTACATTGTTTTTATGTTCCATCATTATATTCAGCGTGTGACATGCAAGCCCAAGCTGAATTTCCCACAATTACAAAAAGTGCCCTGCCCGCTTGTTGCCACACAAAATTACATTCTAGACAGCACCTGTGTGTTTTACGCAACCTGTTATGTTCTCTGAATTTTTTTTTAAACTGTAACTTGGCATATTTTGACCTAACTCTTTCTCTAAAGATATTTTACAGGTCACCAGATCGGTTTCCAATTCCAGAGATGGTTGTTTCCAAACTTGAGAGAACAACCATGAATAAGGCCTCTTCAAGTTGTAAATTTCCAACCTGCATAAAAGGCATGGATATGGAAGTATCTCTAAAGTAGAACAAAAATGCATATTATGTGTTCATAGAAATCACATGGAGTAACTTGAAGAATTTAATATTTTATAGAACTTTCTCATCAGAATCTGTATATAAATGCATACTAGAATTAAAAAACATATATATTTTAGAGAAATTGTAAATGAATGCGTTAAACAGTCGGAGTGGCACAATTATTTTCTATATCGTATTCTTGAAACTATGTGTGACTTTATGAACCGACCTCTCCTTGCGTTCATAGCCTCACAGAAGCAGCTCCCAAACGGATAATCCGTCTCACTAATTTGCTTGTTTAAAAAAAATGATATTTTTCCTATGAGATATTTTTATAGCGCATAAAATGAGAATTATATTTCCCGTGCTCTGTTTATTGCTAATCACTTATTCCATGGTACTCCCTGGCAGTCACATGGGGACATGGGTTAGCCGAGATGTACATTTTTCCTTCGTTTACTTACTTTCCCTTTGTTCTCTGTCTCCTTCTGGAAAACAAAGTAAAATGTTAGTATAACTAAAAAATTTTTTAAAAATTCAAAAGCAAAGCACAAGATGATCCTCTAAATTTTCTCGACAATTTATTTGTACCAAAAAAAAAAAACCAGTTAAATAAGTTATATGTTCTTTCAAAAGTTTTTCATGAAATTAATGAGATTTGAATGAATGTATATTAGTGAGTTCGGATCTATACAGAGTCCTTTCCATTATATTACCATTAGCCATGAAAGCTATTTTTAAACCATGACAGGTACTGTATTTTAAACAGTCTCTGATTACATCAGGATTTTTTGTTGGTCTGCTAAAAGTCAGAATGTTTACATAAGAATAATCCGATCTTAAAAAAAAAGCTGTCTTTTCTGAAGTTTATTATCAGGATGTAGTAATCTTCATAAATACCAATGTGCCTACAGCGTGTTTTATCTTTTTTTTTTTTTGTTACTGACAATATACTTGGGGAAGGACTAGATCTGAGTAGTTAGCTCGCTCTGTTGTTAGAATTGGAAAGTCTTTGGAGACAAAGAAGTTTCTCTCCTCTCCTCCCCATCACCAGACGCTCTTATGGTTATCAGTAACATTTCACAACTCTTCAGATTAATCGCAGTTGCCACGTAAACAATGTATTGTAATGGAACGACAGACATGCCACTCTTAACAGCCTCCAAAATATAATCCAAGAAGAATTTGAAAAGGCTCAGAGCATGAAGATTTCGAGAAATATGAAACATGGGAAACACAATAAGGGGCATTATAGCATTCATCCCATCCAACAGTTGCCAGAATTACCTATCAGGGGATTTGAAAGAAATGCCTATTGATAAGATGGTGGACTTGAGTAGCATGCAACTTCGAAGATTTCCCTTACGTGTCTGTGCTTTTAAAGAGCTTGTGAAGTTGTACCTCAGTGACAATAAATTAAACAGCCTTCCTCCTGAATTGGAACTCCTTCAGAACCTCCAGATTCTAGCATTGGATTTCAACAACTTCAAAGTCCTGCCTCAAGTTGTGTGCAGTTTAAAGCAACTGTATATTCTTTACTTGGGTAACAACAAACTCAAGGACCTTCCACCAGAAATCCGTCTCCTTAAGAACCTACAGACCCTTTGGATTGAATCCAATTATCTGACGAATTTGCCAACAGTTATATGTGAGCTGACTCTTCTCAAAGCCCTTCATGCTGGCTGCAACCCCATCCGCTGCCTACCCAAAGAGCTGAAAAACCTGAAAGAATTGCGCAGCATATGGATGTCTGGAAGCCTTCTCAGTGAATTCCCACCGGTCCTGCTTGAAATGCCTTTCTTGGATATCATCGATGTGGACAGAAACGGTATCAGGTTTTTCCCAAGCCTTGTTCATTTAACTAATTTAAAGCTGGTTATTTATGACCACAACCCATGTCAAAATGCTCCAAAGGTAGCAAAGGGGGTGCGGAGAGTTGGCAGATGGTCTGAGGAGACCCCAGAACTCATGAAGAAGTTTGATGTGGAAACCGAAGTTGAAAAGGCGGTGGAAATTAAGGAGACACAACCTGCCCCCACTAAAGAGAACGCAAATGAGACTAATGAAAACCCAGTGGATGTAACTACTGAACTGAATTAAATGTCAACTCTTTCTGTCAAGGTGACATTGTAAACCCTCATATTGGAGAAATAATTGAAGACTGCGTTCCCACTGCTGGTGTGCGTGTTGGGTGCAACTGGATTGGCTGAAGGACAATAAATACATTTAACAGGTGTACAAAACAGTTATAATTCTTTTCTTACTGGGGAGAGGGGCTTGTGTCAGGGATGTTCAATAAAATGTGAATTGTCAGGAAGTTGTAAAGTAAATTTAAACATTAAGGCTACAATAAGAGAACTGGAAACATCAATTACATTGATTTATTTTTCCCCCCCAGAGTTTTGCTATTTTTTCCTAAAACTTGAATCCTTGACAATTCACAATTTAGTCAATAACCCTATTTAAAAATGTGTATAATTCTTAAAGGAAAATTGTAATCATTTTCATTATTATTCAAAGCTCAATGATAAATATAGTATATTCGTTATATAATTTTTGTAATGCATGTTTATAAGTAAATGCCTGTTTTTTAGGATTTGGTCAGATAAGTAGTGCTTTCAATCAAGGAGGACTAAAGGACTGCTGTTTAACAAATAGGGTAAGCCAGGTGATTAAATTACAATAGGCTATAATGCATATTATTGTTTATGTTCAATATTAGTAATGTAATGGGAAAAAAATTATGACTGTTTTCCTTTACGATTGTATGTAGCATCCAACCCTTATTTATTTGTCACTGGAATCCCAGTAATATCCAAAGCAAATAAATGGACACTGGGCTAGGAAAGGCCAGAATGTGATACTATCCAGGCATCACTAGAGGGTGAGGCCTGAGAACATATCTAGGAATTTGCCTCAAAGAGAATCCACCTTATATCACCACTGGAGGAGTGGGGGGAATTGGGTGTATGGGGGAGTAGCTCATGGAAGGGTGTGCAATCAGACATCAAAAAGGGTAATATCCAAAAGGGCTGTGACAAATTAAAATGTGAGAGAGGGAATGTGACTGACAGGGATAAGTTGGGAGGATAGGAGTATAGGGTCCATATGATTGTGGATGGGAGGGTTTATGGATTTAGGTAAAGTTTTGCAGGAGGAATCAATACAGACTGTTGGGAGAAGCTGTGGCCTGCAAAATATTTGGCAAGATCTATCAAGACAAACAGGTGCTAATTTCCACACCAAGAGATAAATGTTATGAAAGATTTCATTGGTTTCCATGGTGATTGTTTCTTAATTAGCACTTTGCCTGGACTATCACCAGTTTTGCCTTGATACATTCCCCTCGCCCCCAGGAGTATGGCTTGTCAAGATATAAAATAGCATGACAAGCTACTGAAAGATGGCCGAGAGAGACGCAAGGTCCTAAAACAACATTGGGATCATCACGAAGATGAGGGCGGTAGGCACAAAATGGGTTAAAAAAAACAAAACAAGAAGAAATAATTTAGGATGGTGTGGAACAAATTGTTCTAATCCATACAAATAAATAAAATGGTGCATAGATAATACTCTGGGAAAGTAAAGATAGTTGCAAAAAATTTAATTTCATGTATGATCTACATATTAATTCTAAACAGCAATTTTTAAAGTTTCGCTATAAAATATTTATTGCCATTTATCGTAGATATAAATTCATTGAAATGTTAAAGTATGATCAAACCAAGCTTAATTTATAATTTTATAAAATTAACATTGACTTCCCATCTGCACATTTGTGTTCCAAAAACGTAATATAAAAACAAAGAAGAAAAATAAACTTAAAATACCCCACAGTGTGAAAATATATACAAACACACACAACCGATCATTAACCTCCAATTCATGTATTGTATTATTACTCTATTAATAATAATTTAGGGTTTTGCCAAAAATAACAGATTTGGTAAAAAAAAAAAAATCTATTTCATGTATGCCACAATTCGACTATCTTACTCTAAATTCTGCAGTTTGGTTTTCTCTTCATCACAACTCACGTGTTTTTAGTGACCTAACCTTATTAGGTTTCCATAAAGGATTTAAATGTATATTGGAACTTTTGGCAGCGTCCAAATAATCTAGTACTTAATGAGCACCATAAAACAAATGAGTCCCAAGTCCTTTCTGTAATACATGTTTTAGTGTTGATCCCTAAAAGGGACAGGGTTAATTTTCTGGGGAGATACATAAAATCTTTGTAATGTACTGGAAGACACAAAAGAAAGACTCTGCATGAATGCCACTGGAACATAACTACATCCTGCCACTAGAGGTCAGCAAGCATATCAAAGCTCCTTGTCATGACAATTTTGGAAACTGATGCTTACAAATAAATAAATGGCAGCCTCCACTACTGGGAAAATTACACCAATGCTTTAGAGGTCTGGAGTGTCCCTTTAACTATGCCTACTGCATGTTCAGTATTTTTTATATGCAATCTAGTTGTCTGTTACATTGTATTACAGGAATGTTTTCTCTTATATTCTTTTCCTGAGATTCGAAAGTGGAGATATTTAACCCTTGCTGATCTTGAAGAGTCTCTATTGCGCCAAGTACATAGCGCTGTAGTGGTTATAGTGTTTAGAGTTGTCATTTTAACCTTCTACATACAGCACCGCAAAATACTGTCTACAATAATACTGTTATAGAAGCCAGGTTATAAAATCATACTGTGATGGCCTGCGTGTAAGAAGGACAACAAAAATTAAGGAAACGTTTTATTTCAGTGCGCAGAATGAAAGAGTACATATAAACACAGATGTGTACAAACTGCATCTGAGAAAGCAAAATGCATCTTCCGCAAAATAAATAAACCCAGGTACAGTATGAGAGTGATCCGCAAGTGCCTAGATGATGACTAATTATCCTGTAACTTCGCTTGTCTGGAAACCTTCTGGTCAGCCATGTAAGAAGACAGCTGGAGTCTGGTCCACAAATCCTTGGGGTTTAAAGAGTGCTTAGCAGGGATGATGGTCTGGGACACGTTTCCTAATGGGGAAATTAAATATTAATCATTCAGAAAGTGTAATTACAGAAGACTGCAACATACTGATTACATTAAATAACACAAGAACATTGACCGACTTATTTCATGGTGTACGGCAAGCTTATTCACTTAAGTGGGAATGGTAAGGAATTCAAAGCAATTTTCTAATTTTAAGACAAAATAGTCAAACAAAAAAAATCAAAAAAAAAAAAATCAGTTGACTTGTAGCATCTCCACAATACAAGAAATTCCAGATAATTCAGTTTAGTGAATAACCTGACAGAGTAGCAGGTCTTATGCTATACATTAGCAAGAGTGTCAGGACTGATTAGATGTGTTTATTAGAGATACAGCTTTGCAGAACACATAATGTGCTGTTTAATAGGAAATGCAACATAAATGGATGTCTGTTCACACAAATTGTGACACTGTAATGCTGAAATCTGTTTAATGGCAATGCACTGATGGGAGTGAAGCAATTAGCTTTAGGTAGATAAGTGGTTGGGTCTAATAGTAGTGTTGACAGAACATAAAGCTAAGAGTATGAATTATGGATAATACCAAGAGGTTCTGTGTGCACATGCATTGCAGGATGATACTCCACACAATTCCTTGATCAAGCTCACAAGGAATCATGTGACATCTCTCCCCCCTGTGGTGCAGAAGGGGTTAATAACCCTGTAATTTACCTGGGTCCAGCGCCGATGTCCCTTGGTGCTGGCTCGGCTCCGTCCATGCTCCTCCTCGCCGACATCAGCAATGGCTGCACTCACCTTAAGATTTCCAGATAGGAAAGCATTATTTAATGCATTCCTATGGGCATTCTGGTAACGCTGAAGACCTCATGCATAGCGGGAGGACATCCAGAATCATTTAGGCGACCAAAAGTCACCTTCGAGCCCAGAAGTCCCTCTAGTGGCTGTCTGCTAGCCTATTAAAGGAACTTTATAAAAGTGCTGATTTCTATGATAATCTGCACTTCTATAATGAATTAATGAACAACTCCTGCCTGTCAGACAGCCAGTGAGGTAAGCTTCCTACTTCCGTTAGCTCCCATGAGCTAATGGAAGTGGTAGGTGAACACTGAGTGCACCTGCCTCACTGCCACATACATCCTTCTCAGATCAAAACGTTGTGCAGCGTGTGCACGGAGGGAGAGCTTCCCAATGAGCAGTCTCTACTGGGGAAAAAGGGAAAGGTTTTGAAGGCTCTTTTAAGATATACACTTTAATAAAAACACATGTATAAAAAATGCACACATGTAATCATTGGGGGTATATCTACTAAATCTGAAATTCTACTTTTATGCCCATTTGGATAGTTGCGTGTTCCTTTAATTATACTTTGATAAATGAAACAACCGCTTGACACTTGCCCGGTCAGCTTCAGAACGTTTATGGAAACTTTCAAATCAATCACCATTGCAGTGTTCATCTTCATACCTTCAAATGTGTGTGTACCCCATATCTCGTTTTCAGTGATTGGTGGCGCTCCTTCCACACGAATAAATAACAATAAGCAGCAATGTCACAACCCAAAAGTAATAACATTTTCTAATCTTCCTGTGATTTTCACATGTGGATTAAAATCCATTCTGCAACATGCATCTTGCAGAACTTGCCATTAGTGATGTCCCGAACGGTTCGCCGCGGACTCATCAATGAGTAAACTTTGACTCTATACCTCACAGTCAGCAGACACATTCCAGCCAATCAGCAGCAGACCCTCCCTCCAAGACCCTCCCACCTCCTGGACAGCATCCATTTTACATTCATTGTGAAGCTGCATTCTTAGTGAGCTGTCCAGGAGGTGGGAGGGTCTGCTGCCTGTGAGGTACAGGGTCAAAGTTTACTCAATGATGAGTCCGTGGCGAACCGTACACGAACCGTTCGGGACATCACTACTTGCCATTATCCCATATAACAAAAGTATACCCATTTTGGGCTACAGCAATTTAACTAGACTCTTATTATAGCGCTGTAGCACGAATCACAGACTGTGGTTGTATGGGATAATCGCAGGTTCTGCAAGCTATGTATTGCCGTATGGATTTTAAATCCACATGTGGGAAATAAAGATAAGAAATTTTATTACTATTGGGATCTTGACATTGCTGCATATGGTTATTTATATAATCTGGATAATTGCCATTAAGTAGAAAATGTAAAATGCACTGAACAAAAAAAAATTAAAAAAGCTATAGCAAGATATTTAGGAAATGTAATCACTCCAGGTTATATTTCCCCACCCCAGGGGCACAGTTTAGTGATAAAGCCCCTTTATACTGCTTTTAGCATAGAGAAAGTACACAAACAGCTACCTTGGGGCTGCTTTTATGATATTATCCACGCGCAAAATCACTTCAGCAGCTTCAGCCGCACTAAGCAGAACTTGTCTTTTCACTTGGAAGCTTTCAGTTATGCCCAACTCTGCCATATCCCCAATTATACCATTTTTCATATCTGAAAAAAACAAACAAAACATATTAGGCTGTAACGGTTTTACAGCTGAATAGCAAAAACTAAACCAGCAACGCATTGTTTCAAAGGTTCTATAACCCATACTAGTATTACCACACTAAGTTCTATTAATGTATTCTTAACCCATCACACTGCAACCATTAAGCCACAGATAAATAAGCTTTGCCTCCCAAGCCATTTTTAAACACTGAGCAGGAAATTAAAGGCAATCAATCAGCAACCCAAGCATTTACCACATCAAATCGGGTAAACCAGTTTATGATCAAGAACAGTCACCCACATAAGAATGTTTATAAAACAAGCCAGTGCATTACTATGAATGATCGGGTTTCTCTCATGGACATTAAGCTGCACTAAACCAGTATTGGGATTGGAAGGATTATTTCTATAAATACTTCTAAAACACACACTGTGAACCCAATATCAACCAGTTACTTACCCAAGCCATAGGTTGACTTTCCTTCACTGTGAGCTGCTCTTAGCTGTGCTACCAGGTCAGCACTGTCATATCCAGCATTATCTGCGATAATTGTTGGCAACTAAAAACAGAAAACATTTTAAAATACATAAAAAAAATATTACAATAGTATACAATACAGAGAGGAAATTCCTTAGCAAACACTGCTTTAGATCATGGAAACTTAATATAGCCCTAATGACAATTACATAGCTAAAAAGAGACTTGTGTCCATCAAGTTCAGCCTTCCTCACATATGTTTTTGCTGTTGATCCAAAAGAAGGCAAAAAAACCTAGTCGGAAGCGCTTCCAATTTTGCAACAAACTAGGAAAAATTTCCTTCTTGACCCCAAAATAGCAGTCAGATGTCTCCTTGGATCAAGCAGCTATTACCCCACTAATTAGAAATTATATCCCTGTATGTTATGTTTTTGCAAGTATTTATCCAATTGCAGTTTAAACATCTGTATAGACTGACAAAACCACCTCTTCAGGCAGAGAATTCCACATCCTTATTGCTCTTACTGTAAAAAAAACCCTTTTCTTTGCCTTCGATTAAATCTCCTTTCTTCCAGCCTAAATGTGTGACCTGTCCTATGTATAGCCCTGTTTGTGAATAGATTTCCAGATAAAGGTTTGTACTGGCCCCGAATATATTTGCATAATGTTATCATATCCCCTCTCAGACACCGTTTTTCCAAATTAAACAGATTTACATTTTTTAACCTTTCTTCATAACTAAAATGCTCCATTCCTTTTATCAATTTTGTAGCTTGTCTCTGCACTTTTTCTAGTGCCACAATATCCTTCTTTAGAACAGGTGCCCAAATTTGCACAGCATATTCAAGGTGTGGTCTTACCAGCGTTTTTTAAAGAGGCAAAATTATATTTTCATCCCGAGAATTTATGCCCCTATTTATAAATGACAAAACCTTACTGGCCTTAGCAACTGCAGATTGACATTGCATATTGCTGCCTAATTTGTTGTCTATAACAATTCCCAAATCCTTCTCGTATGTGGTTATTCCTAGTTCACTACCATTTAGGGTGTAAATTGCTTGTGCATTCTTAACCCCGAAGTGCATAACTTTGCATTTCTCTACGTTAAATTTCATCTGCCATTTTAGTGCCCAGTCCCTCAATCTATCCAAATCCCTCTGCAGCAAAGCAATATCCTGCTCACATTTTATTACTTTACAAAGATTTGTGTCATCTGCAAACACTGATACATGGCTTTCAATGCCTATTTCAAGATCATTTATAAATATGTTAAATAGAAGCGGTCCCAAAACAGAACCCTGAGGGACACCACTTACCACTTTTGTCCAGCCTGAAAAGTTACCATTAATGACAACTCGTTGTACTCTATCCTTAAGCCAATGTTCTACCCAAAAACAAGAATATTCATCTAGGCCAGCTTCTTTTAGTTTAAAGACTAACCTATTGTGAGGAACGTATCAAATGCCTTGGCAAAATCCAAGTAGATCACATCCACTGCAATGCCCTGATCTATACTTCTACTTATTGCTTTGTTGAATGCAATTAGGTCAGTTTGACATGACCTAGGTTTCATAAAACCATGCTGATTATTGCTAATAAAGTTCTTCCTAATGAATTCCTGAAAGATTACCCCTTAATAGCCCTTCAAATATGTTCCCAGTCAAAGAAGTTAAGCTCACAGGTCTATAATTTCCAGGCAATGATTTTGAACCATTTTTAAATATAGGAACAACATCTGCCTTCCACCAATTCTCCGGTACAATACCTGAAACAAAAAAATCTTGAAAAATTAAATACAGAGGTTCACTTATTTCCCCACTTAGCACTCGTGGGTGAATACCGTCAGGCCCCGGAGCTTTATTTACATTAATAATTTTCTTTAATAGCTGTAGCACCTTGTCTCGAGCTATTCAATCACAAGTTAACTGCAAGTTTTTTGCAGCAATCATTTGCATATCGCTTGCCATAGGATCCTTATTAGTATATACTGAAGAAAACCCATCTCTATTTCCAGTGTACCTACACTTTCATTTTTAAAATTGATGTACTTGAAAAAAAATTTGGGGTTGGTTTTGCATTCTTTGGCTATCAATTTCTCATTTTCTAGTTTAGCCACTTTAATTGCCTTTTTGCAAGCATTATTGCTTTAAATGCCCTTTTCTTATTTTTAATCTATTGTTTTACTTCTCTACAAAGCCACATTGGTTTTAATTTGTTTCTTTTACATTACTCAATGGTACATACTGAGAAATGTACCTTTGTAATATTTGTTTGAATAGTTTCCATTTATCCTCAGTGTTTTTATCACTAAGGGGTTTATGCCAGTCGATATGTTGTAGAGCTGCCCTAATCTTATTGAAATTGGCTTTTTAAAAATTATACGTTTTAGTATACCCCACGTGCTTTTGCTTTTTTGAGTTTATTTCAAAAATAACCATATTGTAATCACTATTTCCCAAATGCTCCCCTACTTGAATGTTGGTTAAAAGATCAACATTGTTGGGCGGGGCCTGACCACCATACTGGCTGGCCGCAAGTAACAACAGCTCCAGAAATATTCTAACAATTTTGCTCAAAAACTGGACTCTGGACCCTACCAGAGCACCAAAAGCTGGGACCAACACAAGAGGAAGCACCAGAACCGAGGAGAGGCTTGCGACTGACTGAGGCCTACTCAGGCGGTGAGTGGGGCGGACCGCTGCCCCACTATTCTGCCCGACGGTGTCCAGACGGACTCCCTCAGATGATCGGTGGGGATGATTCCGGCCCACACCTTGCGGCACACATCATAACAGAGGCCTCAAGGCCCCAACGCACTGACACGATGCAGCCCACGACATCTAAAATGGCGGCAACTACGAACCGGGCAGAGCACACGGGTGAGACTGCCGCCTTCTGCTCCCTGGGAGGTGCAACTCACACGAACCCGGAGCAGACCCCATGCACCAAGTGATGACAGCCGGATCGGCGGGAACACGACGACATGCTACAGCGTTATGTGACAGACCGCAGGTGCCGAGACCCTTGCACTCATAATCGGCAAAGAGGTCGGAACAGCGGCAAACTAGAAAAAGCAGCGTAGAATCGGAAGACCCAGCTGCCCACCCCTCGATCTGGTCCAGAAAAATAGCACACGCATAGACCATCGCCCCATCTCACAGCAACACCTACCAGCTGAACTACAGCGGCTAGAGGACAGCAACTGACATAGGAACGACCCCGCACAGAATCATCACTAATGATCATATCACAATAATCATCAGGGCATTCTGACATATGCACACGAGCAAGCATTCATCGTCTCAACTAGGGACTGTGCCCCCCTGGCTTACTTTCAGCCAGCTGGACAATTCATACACGGCTCGCACAGAAAGATGCAGGGGTGAGGAGAATATCGCCCACGAGCAATGGCAAGACACAGGGAGACAATTAACCCTGAACGCACAGCATAAATAATAGCAACTATCCAGCAAAAGCCATAAGCCTGTACCTTCCATGACCTGCTGTCACTCTTCTCATATATCACGCTGTCTCTCCCTTGTATAGGGCTAGATTTACTGCAGCACCATCCTACACTTAACTGTTTAATGCTACATAGGACTCTGGCATGTTAACTCTATTCCACACACTGAACATGGGCTTATCTCTCAGACCAGAACTGTAGGATCTCTATGTTCTCAATGCATGCAAGACTCAATGTATAATTAGCTAACTTATTCAGAGACACATCTGCCTAGCAAATTGTGTTATGAGTTCACTGGTCCGTCACTTGTCTGAAGAGTCTAACGGAAGAGTCATAAGAGTTTAATTACTCACTTGGACACAAGAGTATAGCATGTATTAGATAGATGAATGTGTACCTTATCGACACACTATTGCTAAATAGCCAAACCACACTAGTCTGTATAATCTACATGCATAATACACCCACACTACATGTACAGTCACCAGAATAGCCTAAGTATAACTTCGACAATTAATCATACCATACTTAAAAATGTGCTATAAAATCAAATGCCTCTAAATGTTAAGCTGTGTATAATCGAATGTTTGTCACTACCCTTGGGGCATTGACAAAAGGACTAATTCATATGAACGAAAAAAGAATAAAAAAATAAAAAAATCAACATAGTTTGTTATAACGAGATCCAGACAAGCATCCTTTCTAGTTGGTGCTTGTACTCGTTGTGACATAAAGGTGTCATTTAACACATTCAAAAATCTGATTCCCCTTGCTGAAGTACTAGTCCCTCTATCCCAATTTATGTCCGGGTAATTAAAATCTCCAATAATTAACGTGTTGCCCCGATTTGCAGCTTTCCCAATTTGCTCTAACAGCTGTTCTTCCTCATTAATATTTACATTATGTGGTTTATAACATATCCCAAACAATAATTAATTTCCCTTTGTTTGCCCCAAGCAGATATCTACCCATAAAGCTTCCACATTATCCTCGTCACACGCCACATGCCTAAGATTTGACTTTAACTCATGGTTGACATACAAACATATCCCACCACCCTTCTTGTTTTTCCTATCCTTCATAAATAACGTGTACCCATTTAAGTTAACTGCCCAGTCATGTGTCTCATCCCACCATGTTTCTGTTATGCCTATTATATCATATTGTTTCGTGTATGCTATTGCCTCTAGTTCCCCCATTTTGTTACATAGGTTCCTTGCATTAGTAAGCATACATTTAATATTATGAGTCATTTGTACTTTTTGTGAATTTTTATCAATGTTACATACCTCCTCTGTTCTGTGCTTTCCCCTACCCCCATCACCACCCCTTTATTCTGAGCTAAAGCCCATCTCCGTTCTATCCTATCTCCATTTTCTAGATTGCTTTGACCCTCCCCCCTACTACTAGTTTAAAATCTCCTCCAACCTTCTATCAATCCTATCCCCCAGCAGAGCAGACCCTCTTCCATTTAGGTGCAATCCATCACGACTATACAGGTTGTACCCAAGCGCAAAATCGTCCCAGTATTCTAAAAACCCAAAACCCTCTTTCCTGCACCAAGACTTCAGCCACGCATTGACCTCTCTAATACCCCGCTACCTTTCTGCTGTAGCGCGCAGCACAGGTAATATTTCTGAAAATATTACCTTGGAGGTCCTTTTCTTTAGCTTTACTTCCTAGTTCCCTGAACTCATTCTTTAGGACCTTCAATTTTCTTCTGACTTTGTCATTGGTACCAATATGGACCATGACAGCTGGGTCATCCCCAGCCCCTCCCAATAATCCCTCCACTCTGTCGGCAACATGCCGGACCCGAGCACCCGGGAGACAGCAAACTGTCCGGTTGAGTCGATCAGAGTGGCAGATTACCCTGGGTAGGTTTTTAACAATGTTATGAAATTATGACATTTAAGAGTCAACAAAAGAGTTTTAGTGATATCAACACCATCTCATTGCTTCTGCTACTTACCATCTGCAGTGCTTTAACAAACGATTCCATGGACACGGCCTCTTTCCCTGGGGTCCTCGTTGCAAGTTCTGCTACAGCATTTGCCATCAGCATCTCTGAGCACCCTGGATAATCACAATAATTTCTATTTAACATCGAGGATGCACAACTGTTAAACAAGATATTCCTACTAGAAATTAATATTACCTCCTCCATATACTGTCCTGGTATCTTTCACTGTCTGAGAAAGTACGCACAGAGCATCATGCAAGGACCTCTCGGCTTCATCTAAAATCTGTTGCGTTGCACCGCGAAGAACAATAGTACAAGCTTCACCTGGTGAAGGTACAAAGTGAAAACAGACATGCTTAGGTCTCCCACACAGCATTTCAACATTTCAAACACTGGTAGATTTTCTTTTAATACTATGTGAGCTGTAATTAAACAACATTAAACAAAAAAACACGGCAGATTTAACAAGACTGCGAGAGGCAGAGTGGATTATGCAAATCTAAATAAAATTTTTAACTCTGCCAAAAACATCACATTTATTGGACAAGAGAAAATACCAGTAGGCTTAAAACATGATGTGTATAAATTTTTTATTTGTTTTTACAGTTCTGTTATATTTTGCTAGTCTTCATTCAAAAATGAATGCTGTGCTTACCCATTGCAACACCAGAGAAGTGAATTAGCTTATCCTCTCCAATCATTACTTCTTCAATCAGTTTGCAGCTTCCAAGCTTTACCAGCTCTGGATGATCAAAGGTGGATGCAATTTCACCACCTGAAAGGCAAAGGGTACAAAAATGAAGAAGAATTAACATGTCGTTCTATTCCCACATATATATGTATATAAAAAAAAAAAAAAGTGATGAAAGGCCATGGACATATCAGATATCATGAAGAAACGCACAAGTCGGCACAGCGCTGACATATACTTCAAGTCACCAGGACCAGAGTAAATAGGATCCATCACTTAAGTAGATGCTACTTTATGGGGAGCAATGTGAGCCTGCCCCACTTTCCTACAGGGTCTCTGAACTTCCTTTCAAAAAAGCATTTACCCATGTTTTATATAGTGGTCAATGAATTGAATTCTCATAGTATCCCTCCACACACTGCTGGTGTGAGAGGAATGAAGGAACTTTTAGACCATAGCATCTTAAGTGATTGCAAAAAGGGGAACAGGTAGTGTTAGTAATATTTAAGAATGTTGTACTGTGTGTTTTGAGCAAATGAATGTCTTGTATAAATGTTTAGAGAGGAAATATTAAACAAAATTGCAGTTCAGAAATGCAGAATAAAAAAAAATAAAAAAGCCACAGCATTCTTACATTCTAGAAGCCAAGTGAACAAGTTTCATACCTGTTACAAGAGCTAAACGTTCCACACCAGCAAAATCGGCATGTTCAATGGCCATTACACCAGCTGCACCAAATAGCTGCTCCGGGTAATTATAAATCAGCTGTCTACAAACAGAAAAGTACACAGACAGTGATGCAATTTAAAGACAGTAACCACACAAAATACAATAAATATCCTCCAACTGTCTATATGCATGGATAGTGGAACGTGACATGCAAATTATCATTACCACAACACGTATTATGATTTGAGATATTTAAATATAAAATAGGAGAGGTCCAGGATACAGATTTGTAAATAGAATCCTGTTTGATTTACCGGTTAATAAAGCAGTTAATGCCATGCTTTAGAATACGGTCCACTTTGTCTTTCATCTTTTCTTTCTCTGCTTGCTCGATATCTGCCACCTTTGTTGTAGAGTCCACACGTACACGTGAGCCAAACACCTGTTACAATAAACACATTAAAAAGATGTAAGATGAAAAATATAGTTTTTTTTTTATTCTTTATTTTTGTTATGCATTGATTACACATCTGCTCTTGCTATGCCCCAACAGCATAACAAGGATTCTGGCATACAGGCAATGTAGAGTATAAGGCATATGATAGTCGTGCACATTTTTTAAATTTATCAATTAGGTAACAGGCTGGTCGTCCATGTCCTGATATAACGTTACGTGTGGCAGGTTGTGTTGCCTAAGTGGGTCAGTTGGACATGTGAGTGGTTCTCTACAAATTGCAAGCTGGCATTTTAAGTATAAGATTGAAACAGTAAAATTAAACATTAAACAAGAGAAGTCACGAGTGAACAGTTAGCTATACACATAGGCACATTGTTTGTTGGGTTAGTTGACAGTGCGGTGTGATGTAGGTGGGCTATAGGGCGTCTGGATGCATGTCATGTCTACCTGTGTAGTTGTGTGTAGGTCTTCAGATCATAGGTGGATGTGTATTAAGTGTTGGTCTGCAGTCAGTCTGGGCAGGTCAGGTAGACACTGAGTCCTGCAAAGTAACTTAGCCCATGCCAGTGGTTGTTATTTGAGTGTCCTCCATTGCTGCCCTGCAGTGCGCTGGGTCGGTCGGGTGCTGCAACAGTTTCTGAGTGTTCTCTTGAGTGCTCAATCCCTCGGCCTCCCGGTCAATGCCCTCAGTTACCATTCCCTGTTGTGCCGGTGTGGGTCTCTTGGCAGCCGACTCAGGATGGTGTTCTTGCTGTGCGCGGCGCCAGGGTCTTCTCCTCCGGGTTGCCATAGCCTCCGGTTGAGCCTGTGGGAGCCGAAAGATCCACGTAGGTGAGTGGCATTTGCCCTTCTGTTCGCCATGGCGTCGAGTGGGGGCCGCAGAGGCAGCCTGTCTTGAGGAGTTGCGGTTCAGTAACCGGCCCGGTTTCACCTGGGGGCTTGGTTTCTTGTTGCGCATTGGATCACGACTCGGTTGTAGGGGTGAGTCCCCGGGCGGTTGTGGTGGGCCAGGGTGTGTAAGTGTCGGCAGGTGGTTCGGTGCTATGCTCGAAACTGGCTCCCCCTCTCGCGGTTGCCTGTGGCTCCTCTCACCCGTTCCCACACGATTTCGCCACCCAGTTGCTGCTCTCCGAGCGCAGTTCTGTAGGTTCTCCCAGAATGCTTGGTATAAATCGAGGCGCTTCTCGAGGTCATTGCTATTAGCAGTGCTGAGCTTTGGGGTTGTGGCTTGATTCCGCTGCCGTGTTTGGCACTCCGCCGCCATTTTGTCTGTGCCTCGTGTGTCGCTGGTCCTGGAGCTTGTAGATAGGTTAGTTCATGTTTTAAATGGGTCGCTCTTGGCTCACAGCGAGGACCAGGATATCCCCCACCGGTTCCAAGGTGAAGGCTTGAGGGTCGATGTGGTCCTGTAGCAAGCAGGAAGAGAGGAGAGCGGCCGTCTCTCCCCTGCACGCCGTCTTGCAGGCCTCTGTTACCGCAGGTTGGGTCCCCGATTGTTCAAAATAGTGAGTGGGGTGTCCAAAGCTGTGTCCGGGTGTACCCCGTGCGGTTCTAACCCTTCAGAGTGGATCCGTGTCGATTATTGGGGTGTTCACCCCCAAAAACAGGTAGCTTCAGCAGGAGCTTGGTTGCAGCTTGTTCCCTCAGCTTAGAAGCTAGGCTCCGCCCCCAAAATATAGGAGTTTTAAAAGAAAAGACCAGTTTCCACTAAACATACCTTTATTTTGTCAGTGTCCATTCCTGTGTTGGCAATTAGAATCTTTGCATTTTCTATACGTTTGGGCTGGTTTACACCAATTTTCTTATCCAACAAAAATCCTAGAGAAAAATATGATAAAAAAGGTTTTCACTATATAGCATACAGGTTTAAAATATTACCATAGCAAAAGAAATAAAATACAAAAAACACATTTACACACAGACAATTTCACATCAGTACAATTGTTTAAAAGAGAAAACCTCAAAATATACAATACTGTTTCCATTTTTCACGTGTATGTTCATGTACCTTCATCCAGGTAAGATTCTGTCAAACTTCCACCCAACTTCTTAATAATGTGAATAGCTTCCAGATTGCCAGAGCCTTTCAACCTAAGAACAGCTTCTACAGCTAGCTTAGCAAAGTGATCTTTATGGTGAGTGAGCAGTTTGGAAGACAAAGTTGTGCGAGAAATATTCAAAAGGTCAGCACGGAACTTCTCTTCATCACTCCTAAAATAATGCAACACAAAGAAATATATCAATAAAAATGTTTTAGCACCAACATGTAGAAACACTTAAAAACAACTATCACCCATTATAACATTAACAAGTTACAGAATATAGTTAGGAGACAATAACTCATGAGTGCACAGTAATTAACTATCTACGTGCATGTTTATACAAAAGAGCATGTAATGGAATGTTTAAGTGAAATCAAGCAGTCACTGATGTCAATCTGACTTCGATTGTGGAACTCATGCATAGTATATTCAAAAAAATTTTTGCCATTTATTATATTCTGATATTCCAAATATACAGCTATATGGTCTTTATAAAGTTGTCTAAATTGGCGCTATACAAAAATCACTGTGGTCCATGGTTGAACAGATTTGCCCTTGATAACTTGGAAGTGTAATTTACAAAATTCACTTTTTTTTTTCAAAGTCACACGACCTTAAAATAGTAGAACAGAAAACAGTAGTGCCCACAGACTCGCTGCATCTTAACCACTATTTAAAAAAAAAAAAATTTAAAAAAAGTATTGGTTATGGTGCCTGGAGTGAGAGTAGTTTTCTTTTATGAAGAAACAAAACACTATACAGGACAGTACAAGGATGAAAATCAGGCCTTTATATTTATCATTGGAATTCTTAGTATAGTTTAATACAACAAATGGTGTCTCAGGCAAAGCCTGTCTGAGCAATACCCACACACCCCTGTATGGTCAACATATTTAAACTTACCCATTATCCACTGCGGCTTTCAGGAGTGCTTCCCTGGCAACCTGGGTTGCTTTTCTCCATCCAGCAATTATGGTCTGTGGATGAATCTTCCTGGCCACCAAATTTTCAGCTTCCTGACAAGTATAAAAAAAATTACAACAATACTTTCAAATTTCATTTAGATAGATTTTACCCTGTTTTTGTATTAATGCAAGCAATACAAACGCTGAAATATCGGGCTATACAGCTTTAAAAGGAAACTACATAATAACCAGCACTGTTACAGAACAAGAATACAAAAAAGTCTTTAAACCAAGTCCCTTCAAAGTTTCTACACAGGGCTTTTAAGTTGGATGCCAAGAAACACATTTACAGTACTTTTGTTCCTTAGAAACCAGACAATCACAGATCACAATTTTCTTACTCTGAGCAACTCTGCTGCCAACACTGTCACAGAGGTGGTTCCATCGCCTACTTCATCATCCTGGACTTTGGACATGTCTAGCAAAGAAAAGTACAAGTTAATACAGAGAACAAAACCAAAACATAAAAAAACTGCAGAACATGTTAGATCAATAAATGCATGTAAACCTACCAACCAAAACCTGGGCAGCAGGATTGTCAATGCCGATAGCCTTCAGAATAGTTGCACCATCATTGGTTACAGTTACAATGCTATCTCGACCACCACTCAGGAGAATCTTGTCCTAATGCATGAGAGGAAATTATTCTCTATATTACATGAATATAGAACAGAGTCAGGCATGCCAGTAGAGTGGGATTAACTGCCTGCTGTTTAATGGTGCATTAAAGAGGACTCAAAGTTACTGCCCTCTCAACACATTGACTTTAGTTTTCTCTAACAAACACAGACAGGTAGCTAAGAAACAAGAAAAGAAGCTAGGATGGACTGATTCAGTGAAAGTTATATACTACTTCTTTAAAGGACCATTGTAGGCACCCAGACCACTTCAGCTTAATGAAGTGGTCTGGGTGCCTGGTCCCTCTAGGATTAACCCTTTATTTTAATAAACATAGCAGTTTCAGAGAAACTGCTATGTTTATAATAGGATTAATCCAGCCTCCAAAGCCTCTAGTGGCTGTCTCATTGACAGCCACTAGAGGCGTTTGCGTGCTTCTCACTGTGAAAATCACAGTGAGAAGACGCCAGCGTCCATAGGAAAGCATTGTAAATGCTTTCCTATGAGACCGGCTGAATGCGCGCGCAGCTCCTGCCGCGCATGCGCATTCAGCCGAAGAGGAGGAGGAGAGCTCCCCGCCCTGGAATAAAGGTAAGTTTAACCCCTTTCCTCTCCATCCAGCCCGGCGGGAGGGGGACCCTGAGGGTGGGGGCACCCTCAGGGCACTATAGTGCCAGGAAAACTAGTATGTTTTCCGGGCACTATAGTGCCAGGAAAACTAGTATGTTTTCCTGGCACTATAGTGGTCCTTTAAGATGGCTTATTAGTTGAATAATGAATGTCATCTAGCAGAATATTTTACTAATATTAGAAAAGGTCTACATATCTAAAATTTATGTTTGCAGCAGAATATTAGGTCTTTGTGTCGGTCTCTAAATTAATGTAATATGAAAATAATCAGAATAAAATAACGAAAATCAAAAGGAAAAAACCTCAAAAGCACAATGCAAAAACTAATTGAGAAATACTAAGTATGCCAAGCAAACTATAACAGAGCTTTTAAGAAGAAGAGAAAAAAAAAATTACAAAAAAAGTCCCAAGTGTTTTGAAAAATATTTAAAACAATATATATGTCCAACTGACTGCACAGGTGCAAGCAAACACACACACACACACTTGCCCAGCAAAACTGATCAAGTAACAGCCATAGAACATATTAAAGCATTAATTGTAGATAATATTTTTTCCACTTACCATTCCTTTAGGTCCCAGAGTGCTCTTAACCAAGTCTCCAATTGCAATTGCTCCAACAAATGAGGACTAGAAGACAGATTTAAAAAACAAAAAAAAACAAAAACAAAAAAACTAAAATTAAACAAAATTAAAGAATTTGGTAAATACCATATCAATGGGAAATCCTACTTTATTCAGATCCATCTTTGCTATTGCACTTGGTGTTTGCCTGCATTATTTTCTTGTGTACAATAAATACACAAACAAATCAATGATAACATTAACCTCTTTAACCCAATGATCTGAGCAAAGAAAACCTTGAATTCGAGCTATAGGTTTGTTTGACCATAATTTAAGGGTTTCTCTTCAAGCACCCCGATACATAGAATGTGACGGCAGATAAGAACCATTCGGCCCATCTAGTCTATCTAAATACTTTCCTTAGTCCTTGGCCTTATCTTATAGCTAGGATAGATAGCCTTATGCCTATCCCACGCATGCTTAAACTCCCTCACTGTGTTAACCTCTAAAACTAAAGTAATACTTCCTGATATTTTTATTTAATACACACACAAAAAACAACTTGAGCTTAAATTAAGCAGTTTTGATGTATAGATAATAACCCTGCAGTCTCAGATCAATTCACTGACATTTAGGAGTCAAATCACTGTTTACACAGCCCGAGTCACACTCCCCTACATGTGATTTACACAGCCTTCCTAAACACTTCCTGTATGGAGACAACTAATATTTAAACTTCCTTTATTGTACAGTCTGTTTTTCCTGGTCTGTTATAACTTGCTAGACCTTGCAGGAGCAACTCCCATGATTAAAGTTTAATTTACAGAGCAGGAGATAAAAACTTCTAAAGCAATTTAACATCTGTTTGAAAATGAACCATTTTGTTTTCATGTAGGTTGTGTGACAGTCAGGAAAGGTGTGGCTAGGGCTGCACAAACAGAAAAAAAAATGATTTAACTCCTGCCTGGCAGAGAGAATTAGCAGTGAGACTGCGTGGCCATGAACTATACCAAAACTGCTTCATTAAGATAATGTTGTTTTAGTGACTACAGTGTCTTTTTAATGCTAATCCTATACCAACCCCCACATGAATGCTATACCAACCATACCTCTTACTCAATACTTTAATTGACTATTAGTATGCCTAACCTAATCTTTCCCTTAACCTCAACCATACACATTAATCTTAAAATAACATTAACCCTAACCAAACACTAAGTGTAACCCTACCCTACTTTTACCCCTAAATACAACTCACGGTAACCCACTCATATCAATTCTTATATCAAAAATGTATTTTACTATTTAAAGCAAGCTTCCCCAAATTCCGGCCCACTAGATGTTGCTGAACTACAACTCCCATGATTCTCAGCCTGTCTATTTAATTCATAGACTCATTGGAGTTGTAGTTCAGCAACATCTGGAAGGCCAGAGTTTGGGGAAGCCTGATTTAAAGGGACACTATAGTCACCAGAACAACTACAGCTTATTGAATTTGTTCTGGTGAGTAGAATCATCACCTGTCTTTTCAGGGAAAATGCAGTGTTTACATTACAGCCTAGGGATAACTTCACTGGCCACTCCTTAGATAGCTGCTTCCTATCTCAGTCTTGTCTAATGTGCATCACAACATATCAGTATCTCCTCCCTCTGCATGCAGACACTGAACTTTCCTAATAGAGATTAATGGATTCAATTCATCTCTATGAGGAGATGATGATTGGCCAGGTCTGTGTTTGACTTGTGCTGGCTCTGCCCCTGATCTGCCTCCTTCACAGTCTCAGCCAATCCTATGGAGAGGCATTGTGATTGACTCAATACAACACTTCAATTGATATCTGTGGCTCTGTGGTGTAAATAGGGATTTAACCCTGCTCACACCAAATATGCAGAACATTCTATATTGCCCTACAGGCTTTTAAGCCCACATTATTTAGGACAGCATAGAACGTCCTATGGGGTTAAAGCAAGCTAAGACATGGAAGAGTATATCAACATGTAACCTACATACAGAGAGTACAACTATCTGAAATAAGTTACTGGATTGCTGCTAGTAGTAGTAAAAAATGTAAACCTGAACCGAAGGTGGCAAGAATTGTGCCTGTCCAGAATAGAGGGATATACTTTATATGCCAGATTTCTGCTGGCAATGACAAATATCTCCTTTAACCCCTTAAAGACACAGCTTCAGAAGCTTGACTTACGCTTAATGACACAAGCATTTTTTGCATTTTCTTGCTGTTTGCGTTCAACTGCAATTTGCATCTCTCATTTATTGCACCGACACATATTATATACTGTTTTTTAAAGGACAGAAAGGGCTTTAATTTGATATAACATATATATATATAAATGCTTACTTATTATAAAAAAAAATACAGAAAAATACAAAAAAAATGAAAAATATTGTTTTTTTTTTTTTTTACAGTTTTTGCAATAATAATGTGTGCATAATTAGTGCAGGTTAAGGAAAGTAATTAAAAATAAATTTATTTATTTGTTCTGATTTACAGAATATATAAAGTGTCCGGGATTTTAAGGTTTTTTTGGTAGTTACAGGTCACAAAGCACAAGGAGTAAAATAAACTTTTAATGTGGAGCGATTTTAGAATTTGGTATGTTTGTCTTGTAAGCTTAATAGCCATAAAAGAAAACAAAATTGCCACACAAAAGTATATATTTATATAAAGTAGACATCACGGGCTATTTACCTAAGGTTGTTTTGACACTTTCTACGTAGCCATTTCACCGCCAACCTCTGCTAAATATTGGAGTAAAATTGTGTTCTTTTTGGTTTTTGGCACACAAACTTATAACAGAGAAATTCTCGTGTATATTTTGTAAAGTTGGTGTGTGCTATTCCTGTACAAAGTTTTATTTTGTGTTCAGTTACATCTGCTGAGTAAAATGACACCCCCATTGTATGTCTTTTGCACTATTTCGTGAAGTTACAGTGCCATACAGGATACCTGTCCTTTTCAGTATTCACAGTAGAATTTTGAGAGATGAATTTAATGAGCCTTAGCTTCCATTTGGGGTATTATAACAGTTTGACTGTTCAAAAAACCCCACAAAGGTCTACCATTTGTAAAAGTAGACACTCCAGGGTATCTTATAAGGTGCATATTGTGCCTTAACATGCCCCCATTTTTTCACCAATATATGCCAAAGTATGTGGTAAAAAATAATTTTGTGCATTTTTTACATACGGATTGCATTTTTGCTGGGCGTTTTGTATATTTCATATGTGCCACTAAGTTCAAACCCCCCAAATTATGCTCAGCTAAGTCTTCTGAGTAAAATGACACCCCAATGAATGTCTTTGTCACTATTTTGTGAAGCTACAGTGCCATATAGGAGACCAAGCCATATCCGTTTTTACCAAACTTAGAATTTTGACGCTGGGCCTATGTGCAATTTCCAAGCATCTTCGCAGGTTTTAAATTCAAACTACCCCACAAAGGCCTACCATTTCTTAAAGTAGACACCCCAGGGTGTTTCAAAAGGTATAGTTTGAACCTTAGCGTGGGATCATTTTTCCGCTAGCTTGTACCAGATGTAGTGGTAATAAGCGTTTTTTCTGCCTTTTTGACATACAAAGTGAGTTTGCACAGTATATTTTGCAAACCTTATGTGTGCTATGACTGTATAATACTTCATATGTTGCTCAGCTATGTCGGCTGAGTACAGCAATACCCCCGTATGTACCTTTGCCAGGTATATGTGGATGTTGAAGGGGCGCATTTGAGACGCAGCCATTCAGTTTTTTTCTAACTTTGAAGTTTTACGCTGTGTCCATGTTCCAATTTGGAGTAGTTTAGACGGTTGGTTATTGAAACTTCCCCACAAACACATACTATTTATTAAAGAATACACCCTGGGGTAATTCAAAAGGCATATTTTGAACCTTGGCGTGGGATAATTTTTTCTCTAGTTTGTTCTAGGTGTAGTGGTAATGAGCGTTTTTAAAATGTATTTTTTTACTTTTTATAACTTTTTTACTTTTAAAAAATAGTTTTTAAACTTTTGTTTTGCTTATAAATTTTTTTTAAACTTTCCTAAACTTTCTTAAAACTTTTTTACAGATTTAACATTTTTCTAAGCTTTTTTTTTTACCATTAACCCCTAACTAGCAGTACGCAGCACTAACAGTAAATTCCCCATTTTCCCATAACTCCCACCCACCCCAGCTAGCAAAATATATAGTTCTAAAATATTTAAGGGTTAAAAAAAATAAATAAAAGTTAATCATCAGGGGTTAAAAAAAATTAGATCACAGTATAATACTGTGATCTCTATTTGATCGCTGTAGGCAGTGATCGACTGGCAGGGAAGGGGTTAATTTTTATTTGGACTAGGTAAAGTGTGTTTTTTTTGTTTTTTTTACTTAAATGTTATTAAAACATTTTTTTAAGCTTAATTTTTTACTTTTTAAAGTTTCTTTTAAAACTTTTTTTTAACGTTAACCCCTAGTTAGCCTAACGCCAAATCCCCCAATTCCCCACTAACTTCCACCCACCCCAGCTATCTAAATATATAATTTAAAAATAATTTAATTAATTAATTTAATTAATTTAACCCCTGAGGGTTAAAAAAAAAAAGAATTAACCCTCAGGGGTTAAAAAAAAATCAGATCATAGTAAAATGTAATCCCTGCCAATTGATCACTGTAGTCAGTGATCAATTGGCAGGGAATGGGTTAATTTTTTATTAAAATGGGTAAGGGGGGGGACACTTTAAATTAACTTTATTTTTTTTTCCAGCAGGGGGCAGGATCATCACTGATCCGGCTCCCTGCACTTCACACAGAACCCGGAAGTGCAGGGAGCCGGTAGGTGAGTATACAGAGCACATGTGCTCGCTCTGACTTGTGGTCAGAGCGAGCACATGTGCTGGGCAGCGTGACCGGGTGCTCCCGGTATGCCTCTAATGCAGAGGCATACCGGGAGCACCATTAACCCCGCGATCGCCGCGATAGCGGCGATCTGTCACCCGTCCTGAAGGGGTTAATCTGTACCCATCGGCTTCTGTGCCTTGCTATGGGCCAGTAGGGTTCTAGAGATATAATTAATAATATGACTGAGAATGAAGCCGGTGCTCTGTACAGACCTCATAACCCTGGTGTACCACCACTGAATGTGCTGTGTGGAGCTTGACATTGGTTAAGAGCAAAGCTACATGCTCCCTCACTAGTAGCAGAGGGAGGTAGTGTCAGGTGCAGTTTGTGTACACATTCTGCAAAAAAAAAAAAAAAAAAACACTGTTCCCTCTGTTCTGTGTGTGTTAAAGTAAGGAGAAGCCGGGATACAATATAGCCCCTTCACCCTCCCCAGATCATATCTGAAAAGCTGTTCTACAAGACACAAGGGTCACACTCTGTGAACCAGCGAGGAAGTCCACTGATCAGCGCTCACATACACACACACAACAGCCTCCACTGCACCACCTAGTACTTGGGCAGGAGGGGGCATTATGGCAGTGAATCAGAGGCTATGCCTTTGAAGATGGCAAATGTGAGTGTGAGCTAATCGTAGCCAGATATTTGGCAACTAAAGGCTCCATGATGCTCATATTCCTGGCACTTACTGCATACAGGAGCAACAATAAAACCCTGAAAAGTATGTGGTATGTATTTGGCTCCGGATTTAGGGAAATCTGTCACGTCTTCGGTTAATAAAAGTCTAGAAGCCATGGCTACCTTCCCCTCCAGGGGACATCAGGCATTACTTTATTTTTATGAAACATATCCCACGGAATCATACATTCTGAGACATGTTTAGCTGTTCACGAAATGACCTATACTTACCAGCCGAGCTGTTTCTGCCCTTTCTTCATCAGCTCCAGCTCTAAATATATTCATGGGTGCTAACGAAAGAGAAGCCTGTGGGAACATCAAACAAGGAAATTTTAAAGTTCAGCAAAATCTATATATTCAGTCAGTGAGAGAACTGTCGCTGAACTCTAATTAGCAGAATGCAATATTTACATTAGCAAAAATTAACATACGCTGTTAGACTCTCCCATGTAACTGATGCAGTAACATCCCCAAGTTATATTCTGGAATCCAAGGAGATTCCAACGTGCTATTTCTTAAAGGAAATCTATAGTCCCGAAATACCAGCACTGCGCATTACTGAAGGTGACCGAGGTGTGCAAGCCGGGGGGGAAGGGGGTGTGTGGTGTGTGTGTATGTATACACACACACACCCGGATATTTAGATATATATACACACACACCCGATATGTGTATTTTTTTTTTTTAATGTTTATTCCCATATTTTACCTAGATTTTAGCTTTCCGTTATGAAATTCCCATAGATATTAAAGGATCACTGTATGCACTAAAAACATCACCGTTCAGTTTCGTGGTTATAGTGCACTGAGATTATGCTGATGTTTTGGGTTTTTTCTTCCTTCCCTGGACTATTTGGGAACATTTTACCAAATCTAATGTTCTCCCTGGCACCCATACGCTGGACAGCAATCCGAGTGCAATGGGCGGGTTAGCCTGGCACACTGTCCAAATACTGTTGTCCAAGTTGGATATAATTGATAATGCTGAGGTTTAATCTCTATATTATTAAGGTGGTTGAGATGAGGCAGTTTATGGATGTGGATGAGAAAACCATCTTTTGTGAACCTGCTTCTTGTATGACAAAAATAATGGGAGACAGAATCCCTACTGCCACACTGTGCTGTAGTGCCCTTTTAAAGAGAAATACTAAGCACCAAAACCACATAATCTACAAGCAGCTCTGTCATCCACCCTCCAAAAATGAGTATTTCACAAATATTACATCTTTAGGAAATACTCACATTGACGGTGTTGGAATTTCACTGATGTACCAAGACAAAAAAGATATATCAGGAAAGGAGTTTAAAAAAAAAAAAAAAAAAGCACACTACAGATTTAGTGAAATAGTAATAACCTTGGAATTCCTAATATTGTTACACTATTGGAAGTATCTCAGCAATGCCTCTCTGTGCAACAGAAAATAGGACAATTTTCTCTGCACAGTTCTCAAAATTGAGGGATAGCCATTTTATTAACACAGGTGAAATTGGAAGATATTGGCATGGCATTCATTGGGGAAAGAAACACAGTTGTGCAACTTTCCATCTATACACTATATAGTAAGTGTCACAGTTCTAGAATGAAGCAGCCCTTTCGCTGACTATTTGTACGAGCATATACGTTGCTTGTTTTTCTCTTTTCAGATTTTTTTTAATATTGATTAGATACTATTAACGTTACTAGTAATATAGATCTGTCAATATCTTCCAAATTGTAACTGTGCAATAGACTCTTCGCATCTTAATCACAGAGCTGTAGTGCCTTTTACTTGGGGTACCCCTTAAATCCATCTTCTATTGGGGTTTATTCACTAAGCGATGCAAAGGAGTAGTAGGAATAGCACAGTAAATGGATGACAGGATAGTGACAGGGTGGGCTGCAAACATTATTAATAACTCCTCAACCCGGGTCTTACTAGGCCCGCTGGGGCCTGAATAGACATCCAGGGAGGGGAATGGGGGCATTTTACAAGGGCGAGAGGGGGGGCAATTTTACAGGGAGAGGGGGGGCACTCTTACAGGAGAGGGGGCAATTTACAGGGGGGAGGGGGGGGGCAATTTTACAAGGAGGGGGGGGTACTCTTACAGAGGAGGGGGGGCACCTTACAGGGGGGCAATTTTGCACAGGGGAGGGGGGGGCAATTTTACAGGGAGGGGGGCAATTTACAGGAGAGGGGGCACCTTTACAAGGAGGGGGGGCAATTTTACAAGGAGGGGGGGCACCTTACAAGGAGTGGGGGGCAATTTTACAAGGAGGGGGGGCAATTTTACAGAGGGAGGTAAATTTACAGAGGAGTGGGGGGGGCAATTCTACAGGGGGCACTCTTACAGGGGAGGGGGGGGCACCTTTACAGGAGGGGGGGGGCAATCTTTACAAGGGGAGGGGGGCACTCTGGCTGGGCGAGGGGGGGCACTCTTACAAGGGGAGGGGGGGGGCAATTTTACAGAGGGACCCACCATGGAAACCTTATAACAAGGGCCTGCAGCCCCGGGAGGGGCCCTGAGCTAGGAGACACGCGGTGCTGGAGACACTGGCCCTCCTGGACACAGAGCCCGGGCCCCTGGGTAAGGGCCACACGTGGACACGAGGTAGATTACGCCAGGCGGTGTCAGTCACAGTAATATTACTCACCATGATTATAGCGGACACACAATGGCAGGGAACACGCTACTTCTCCAACCGCCGGCTTCTGACAGGAAGTGTCGTACCAGCTAACCGTAAAGAGGAGGGCACAGAACTCACTAGAACAGGCAGGGCCGAGGCAGGAGACGCCATTTTGGAAATGGGAATAAAATACCGACGGGAGTCTAAGTGATGACGAGTGCAAGATACATCTGAAGCCGGAAACCTGACTGATTTGAGTTTTATATTTTAGTACTTTTATGGGATATAATGAGCGCGTGCATAGTTCGCTCGCTTGAGTTTCTGAATGGTAGCCTGTTGCCCATTTTAAACATGGCCTCCCAGGAGTCTTCCAACCTGCTGGCTGTTGAAGAGCATGTTTCCTTGTAAGGTTCTGCCAGTCACTGACCTGCTCCAGCCCCCTTTTTAGTGAATGTAAGAACAACAGGGTTATTCAATAAAGCAGGCTTCCCCAAACTCAGGCCCTCCAGATGTTGCTGAACTACAACTCCCATGATTCTCAGCCTATCTATTTCATTCATAGAATCATGGGAGTTGTAGTTCAGCAACATCTGGAGGGCCTGAGTTTGGGGAAGCCTGCACTAAAGTAAATCTAAAATTTAAGGCCATAGTAGCTAACTTGGACTACTTCTCCATGTCTGCTTTACTTGTTGAATTCTTAAGAATTCTCACATTAGTAAATAACCCTGTGGATTTCACAGTCTAGGCAATTTTGCCAACACTGAAGAAATAATGCCTCGTCTATATTAGCAAAAATAATCTGGAACTGTCCAGGGACATTTAGACTCCAAAATCTGGGCATTGTTCACAATGTTCTGCAATACCAGCTCCCAATTTGATTCAGTGTTTTTGGATTTCATCATAAAGCGCTAACCGAAAGGCTGAAATCCAAAACTGTATGATGGAGGTATGCAACTGAATGCTTGGGCATTATCTTGCTACAGGTACGGCTGAATTTACACAATTTGGTTTGACCGAAGTTGCCAGAAGATTGTGGCCAATTCCTAGCTCTAACAATTCAGGCAGGATAGTCCCACTTTCAGCTTCTCCTTGGCAGTTTTGTTTCCTGATGTCCTGCATCCATGGACACCATGGAACTGTCTGCAGCCAGCATGACACAAACATTAAAGGAACACTGTACAAACATCCAGTATATTCTTTTTCAGATGTATTTTATATCTATATTAACATGCTATATATCAATAAACACTATTACAACTTATTAAAGTAGCACTGTCACAATCAGGGGACTTTGCAGAATTCTCAAAGACCCCCAACGATGACATTACCGGTGGGCAAGTAAAGGTGAAATTTTCCTACCTAAACCTGTCCATATTCCTCTGGTTGGTCCTCTTAGCTAATGTCACCTCTGTACTACAGCATTGAAGTCTATGGAGTATCCCGCAAGACCACGGGATCTTCCATTGACGGAGCCAATTATCTTGAGCCTTCACAGATGAAGGCTGCAGCGATTGACACTTCTAAACTGCAGTAGCTACACCCAGTATCTAGAAGTGTCAGGCATAGAAAATATACAGAGACAAAATAGTCACTGCTTTGTCTCAGCAGATCTCATATCTGGGTTGGGATTCCAGTGAAATTCCAATACAGTCAAAATTAGTATTTCAGAAAGATACCCTTATAAAATACAAATTTTTGAGTTGGGTGGGGTGACTGTGTCACTTTAATTTACTGTAATTTTTATATTTTAATATAAGTATTTACCTTTTGACAAGCTACACTTTAATATTACACCCTGCCCGCTTTCGGGTCAACATTCTCCTGTCGGTGAGGTCCAATCAGTAGTTTCTGATAGAGAAGCATTGTGGACCATATGTGCATGTGCAACACTCGCCACAATGCAAGAATCAAATTATAGTCATGGGTAATCATTTACTTTTTTTTTATTATTGACTATCTGGTTTCGTTTAGGTTTTGGTATTTCATTAGTCTACTGCCCTTTAACATTGGGGGGTAGCACTTTTCCTGTATATCCTTTTAGCCTTACTACAAGTTTTAATATTATAACTTTCTCACAAGTTATCTCCTGGTACATTTAGGATCTAGTATCCTTTACCTGTCACTGTATTTTTTAAGCCATTATGGGGGCTCATCTATACTAGTCAAGATTTGTTGTGGGTTTTTGTCTAATTCATCTAACAGGTGGTTACCCTACAATTATAATAATATTGGGCAGATTAGATGAGCCAAATGGTTCTTATCTTCCGTCACATTCTATGTTTCTAAGTACTTGTTCATAACCTACATTCCACTCTATCAGGCCAGTTTCTATCCACACCTATCTTTATGGGTAATCATTGCATTCAATCATTCTCTATGAGAAATCACGAACGCTACACTGAGCATGGGCAGAAAGCGTTGAAAGGACACCTTAGACCAGGCTTCCCCAAACTCCAGCCCTCCAGATGTTGCTGAACTACAACTCCCATGATTCTATGAATGAAATAGATAGGCTGAAAATTATGGGAGTTGTAGTTCAGCAACATCTGGAGGGCCAGAGTTTGGTGAAGCCTGCCTTAGACACTTTAGCTTGCTCTAGTGCCTTATGTGTGAAGAGTGCACCCTCTTTTTCCATTTTACAAAAAGTGCAGATTTCGATAGTGATTCGCACTTTTATAAATTAACCTTGTTACACTCCCCTGGCTGTCAGTCAGACAACCTGTCCGGTCACTACCTGGCAGGGTCAGTGCTAAACTATTTTGCACTGTAGGAATGACCAGCTACATTCCACCCCCCAATTTTTTTTTACAACTCTGTGTGCCTGTTTGTTCCCTCCCAGCCTCTCTGTACATCCATTTTCCCCTCTCAGACCTCTGTGTGCCTCTCCTTACCCCCCTCACCCTCTTTAGCTGTGTGTGCCTTTCATCATCCTCCAACCCTCTGTGTGCTGCTCCTCACCCCTATCCCTCTGTAAGCCTCTCATCATCCCCCATAGTCCTCTGTGTGACTCTCTTCACCCCTCCCCCCCGTAAGCCACCCCAACCCCCACCCCCAACCCCCATGACAGCTCGCCTTTCAATTTCTAGCGTAGCCAAACGACAAAACCACAGTAGAGGAAATTCTCTATCCCCTACCCAGTCTGAAAGCAAGAAGTTCTGTGCCCTCAACGAGAACTTACTGTCAGACAGGGTAGAGGTTACAGAAACTCATTTACCCCGGTCCACGGCTCTGCCATGATACATGATGAGACCAGAGCCCGGGCACTGCACCCCTCCGGGCCGGTGCACTTTTGGCCTTATCCGCATAGAGGTTGTGCTAGCCTTGGATACAGAAGATCGTCAACCGAGGTTTGCTCTGCCACGTTACATGCAGTCAGGGCCGGACTGGGAAAAAAATTAGGCCCGGGCATTTTTCAATCAGAGCGGCCCCCTAAGAAGGGGGCGGGGCCAGAGAGTGTGTGTTTTGTCATCACTAATGACAACACGCCCCCTCTCAAAGTGAGAATGTTGGTTCAATGCCCAGAGCCCTGCTGAAGAGCTCTGGCATTAGAAAAAGGCCCTGAATTTGTTCTGCGCAGCGCAAGCAAATTTAATAACATGCTTGTGCTGTGTTTGCTTTTAAATTGTCTCTGGTGTCTCCACAAGTGGGATACCAGAGGACAAATGGAAAGTGCATGGTGCATATGTTTGGAGCCTGCTTGTGGGATTGCGTGTGTGTAGAGTGTGGTGTGGTATTGTATAAATAGGTCAATTTAATTTGTGTTTGTGGTGTAATATGTGTGGCTAGGGGCTGTAGAGAGTGTGTGTATAGGGGGCATAGTTTTACAGGGGATGCAGCGAGTGTGTGCATACGGGCTGAAGTGTGTGTGTATAGGTGACGTAGTGTGTGTAGGGGTTGCAGAGAGGGTGTGTTTAGAGAATGTTGTATGTGTTTGCTGACAAGGAATGTAGTGTGTGTGTGTAGGAGATCTACTGTGTAAAGGACCCAGTGTGTGTGTGTGTGTGTGTGTGTATAGAGGATAAAGAGTGCATATAGAGTAAGTGATCTAGTGTGTATCTGGAGCGTAATGTGTGTAGTGGTGCAGTGTGAGGGGTGCTGTAGTGTGTGTGTGTGTGTGTGTATGTATATATATATATATATATATTTGGACTTATTGTATGTGTGAGGGGCGCAGTGTGTGTATGTAAGAGGGGTGCTGTGTGTGAGGGTGTTTTTTATCTGCTGTCACATTCTAGGTTTCTAATTTTCTTTGTCTGTTAACTCACTGAGGGTTATTTTATATATATATATGTGTGTGCTGTATATGTGTGGGAGTGTGCTGTGTGTGTGAGTGAGGGTGCTGTGTGTGTCTGGGTGCTGTGTGTGTCTGGGGGGTGCTGTGTGTCTGGGGGTGCTGTGTGTGTCTGGGTGTGCTGTGTGTGTCTGGGTGCGCCGTGTGTGTCTGGGGGTGCTGTGTGTGTCTGGGTGCACTGTGTGTGTCTGGGTGCGCTGTGTGTCTGGGGGTGCAGTGTGTGTCTGGGGGTGCAGTGTGTGTCTGGGCGCTGTGTGTGTCGGGGGTGCTGTGTCTGGGGCTGTGTCTGGGAGTGCTGTGTGTGTGTCTGGGGGGTGCTGTGTCTGGGGCCGTGTCTGGGAGAGTGCTGTGTGTTCAAAGTGCTGTGTCTGGGGGCTGTGTCTGGGGGTGCTGTGTGTGTCTGGGGTGCTGTGTGTGTCTGGGGGATGCTGTGTCTGGGGGTGCTGTGTGTGTCTGGGGGCTGTGTCTGCTGGGGGGTGCTGTGTGTGTGTCTGGGGCTGTGTCTGGGGGTGCTGTGTGTGTGTCTGGGGGCTGTGTCTGGGGTGCTGTGTGTGTCTGGGGGCTGTGTCTGGGGGTGCTGTGTGTGTCTGGGGCTGTGTCTGGTGCTGTGTGTGTCTGGGGGCTGTGTCTGGGGGTGCTGTGTGTGTCTGGGGGGATGCTGTGTCGGGGGGTGCTGTGTTTGTGAGTGAATGTATTTTTTTATTTAAATTTAAATATTTTTTTTTACTAATAAAAAAAAAAAAATATATTTCCCCCCCTCCCTTCTTCTCTACCTTTATCCTGGGAGGGGGGAGGAGATCCGTTCTGTCATGCTTCCCTGGTGGCCCAGTGGTGAGAGTGAACTCTAACCTGCAGGTTAGAGTTCACTCTCGCGAGATCTGAGCGTTGCCGTGGTAACCGCGGCAACGCTCAGAATC